TATCAGAATTAGACGCATTAAATGTTGTGTAACCTAGTTTTAAAGCCGAGTTCTCATTAAAAAGAGCTCAAGGCTAATACTTTTCGTTCGAATTTTTCTGTCAAAGTATATGGAACATTCGGTAGAGTACCAAATGCAATCATAAACACTACTTAGATTGACGAAAAGTAGAATATACTTAAAGGTTATAATTGTGACCCATGTAGGCTTTTAAAATAGTAATATTTTTCTCCATGCGTCAAATCTACACTACCAGCACACACTTGTTTTTAATCTGCCTTCATAATAGGATGAATTTAACAACCGGTCGATTTCGAAATACCTGTTGACACACTAAACTGCTAGGCTATATTCTGCTACTCATTTGATATCTTATCTAACTTTGATGAAAACTGAGTTGAGAGAATTGGTTTCTGTTTCTTTGGTCCAAACATGCTCAAACTTACAGGAATATATTGCTCGACTGTGTAATTAGTCGGATACGGTAAACAGAAATCAAGTATTTACAACAATGGAAATCGAATCTTCATAATTTTAAATGATCGGTTTACTGAAGTGGGTGTTGTTCGTTTGGAGTGTAAACAGGTGAAATTCCCCCGGAAGAGCCAATATTCTTTGAACATTTCCCAGTTTATTCGACGAAAAACATATAAGCAGACGCCAAATAAAGTACTGATGCGCTTTTTTCTACTTCACTCTATCATATGAGCTCCTATTGATTATTCTAGTGAACAGGATCACTTACGCACTGCTCAAACAATCCTTCTATCTATATGTAGCATAAAATGTATTCTTATCTTTAAGAAATGTACCCCACTAACATTTTGTCTTCTCATGATATTACATTGCTGGTTCCTCCTTAAGTAGATATAGTAGATATAGCGTTTGCTTTGCACCTTCCAAGTACAAATCGCTCTTACAAGACTGTCAGCACTCTGTGCCTCCACGCACTCTTGGTAATGAGCAGTTGGAAGTTTTCGAGAGGTTCGTGTGTCTAGGTAGCCGCGTAAATGCTGACGCGCACTTTGCATAAATTATTATTCCTTCCTACCGCAACGCGTTGTTTTTGCTAATATGCGAGTATTTTAATAACGTTGACTAGTGGCTAGCAGTGGAATTCATGACGCGCATTTCGTCCCATCTGGCGCTTGTTGTCTGCATTTACTCAGTATTAATATTTACACCGAAGCCCCAATCCATTATTTTTCGCTCAAAACACCACGTTATCTACTTAGCTACTGGATACTGATAACTAATGATTTGTACAACAGATATATTTTTTTATTATCTGTAAGTGTTTGAATCTTCCCGTTGTTATTGTTAAGGACTGTAATTCATCGTTTATTCTGTACCTGTGATTACATAGCAATATCAAAGAAATCTACTCTGGATTTATATGTTGAAGAATAGACTGATCACTTGCGGAAAACAGCAACAACAAGTCATATTCGAACAGGCGGAGTGAGGGACTACAACCATCTGTCTCTATTCCTTCATTGAAGCAGTGGGGTTAGACAGACAGAGTTGCCCAATCTCTCTATTTTTCTTCAACTTTGTCATCAATGTCGTTCAGGAAACAGCTCTTATGGATGTAGGTAGTGATTGAGCGGATCTGTTACCTGGAGAGACTGTTCGACATTGAGTATGTGGATGATATTGTCTTATTGTACGATGATACACAAGCTATGCAATTGTCCATAAATTATAGTCTCGCCGAAAATTCATAATGATTTTTAATTACGATTACTGAATTGAGTACATAACAAGCAATCAATACATGTATAGTTCATCTAATTAATGTTCTAGACCGATTATGATCTACTACTATGATCTGCTTTTGATCTTTTATAATCTTATTGATTTTTGATCAAAAGTAATTCAGAAATTAAAAAAAATTGTTTTATACAGAGTACATGATCATTTAAAGTAGATTCCTATATTCCCTATTTATGAATTTAACTAGAGAGCTCTAACAAGCTGTTAAGTTATAGTTTCTAAAAATGCTCCTCTTGTATAAAGTTAGGCATTAAGATCTTATTTTCTTGTATTAGATATACTGCTGTTGATGAGTTTATCTTTTAAATTTAAAATACAATACTATGACGAAGGTGAGATATCTGTCTATCAATTAAGGGACGACTATAATTCGCGGCAGTCCGTTCTGTTCTACTTTACGGCAGCGAAACGTGGCCACTAAGAGTAGAAGATATTCGTAAGCTACTAGTATTTGATCAAAGATGTCTTAGAAATATTGCTCGTATCTGTTGGGAACACCGGGCAAGTACTAGTGAGGTTGGACGCAGGATTTTAGGAAATGATGGTAAATCAGTTGGTGAGGTTGTGAATCTTCATCGACTAAGATAGTTGGGTCACGTGTTACGTATGCCTGGACACCGATTACCACGACACACAATGCTGACTAGTGTTGGAGACGAATGAAAGAAAGTTAGGGGCGGCAAAACCAAAACGTGGAACCAGTACATAAAGTCACTAACGTTTGTTCTGAGGCATGTTAATAAATGAAGATTACTTGATTGGGGTCCGCGCGACTGTCATAACCAATAGTTGGAAACTCTGTGTGACATAGCTCAGAATCGATCACAATGGTGTAGGTGTGTATACTCTTTGTCTTTCATTAAGCCGTTAGATTCTAATAGTCTTATACCTTTCTTTCCGCCAACTAATTCTTTCTCCCTGTATCATATCCTTGTACACAATCTTTCTTTTATGTATTGCTACCATTGAAGTAACTGCTTTTATGAATCCGGTGTTCATGTTCTTGTGCTAATGAGGTGTGGCAACTTGGACCGATGTATATATGTGCCTGGTTCTAAATTTAACTGAAAAGTCTCAATGTTGTATGCTATAAGTAGGAAAAACCTTGTTCTGTGTTTGAATACGCTGTGCTTTGTATGTTTTGAATTACAGCAATCAGTGGTCAAATTTCAGTAAATTAAACTGAGTAGCACCTGACACTAATTATTTAATAAATTCATGTATGAACTCATGTTACAATGACAATTAAACTACTGCATTCAATGAATGTAACTAATCTACTGAATCTTACTATTACTTCATCTGAACACCTTATCATTGGTTTGATCTATCAGATTAGGTATGTTCAGAAACGCTATTAGTTATATATAATTTATAGACGAACCAGTCAGGTATAAGATAACAGGTCTCGGATTTTGGGGCGAAATTCACTCATCCATTTGGATAGATAGATTTTTGGCATTATAGCTGATGTCATTTTGTTATGAAAACACTAACCATCAAATATAAATCATATTTCTAATTTCTCACACTGGTTTATAACCCTCATTTCGTCCTAGTTATTAGGTGGACACTCTCATGGTCACTTTAATGTCGCTCAAATGTTGTCCATAAATTATAGTCTCACCACATTTTTTCTCAGTTTTAAATTTGAACTGACAGACATCATGACACTAAACACTTCCAAGTTTATGGAAGAGGTTTCAAATATATAAAGCTAGTTAATCTGACAAGACTATATCTATTTGTTCTATTCTGACTGATGAATTGTGACGATATAGGCATGAACGATGCTCACAAAATTCCTACTTCCTACTCATGAATTTTATTTCATTCAAATCAATATGTTAAACATTTTATGACAAATAGTGGCCAGCAGTAGGATCTAGAACGCTTGTTTTGTTCTACTTAGGACTGGTAGACGGATTGCATATATACTCCATAATTGATGTTCACTTCCGGACTAGAAACCAATATCGTTCGATCCCAAAGCTCTTCGCCTTATTCACTTAGCGACTGAATCCAGAGAGCCACTGGCTCGTGTAATAGGGTGGATTTTAATTCAGATATATTGATAATTCAGATCTCCTCATGGGTGTTTAGGACTGTAGTTGATCAATCTCTTTTGTTATATGTGCATCCTGTGCTGATTGCTACGTTTGAAGCCAGTGATACTAGGTTTAAGTCCCGAAATGAACATCAACTCTGGAGTGCAGTTACGTCCAAATGAAACTATAAAGATCAGAGGAAAACTAAAATTTATCATTTATGAGATTCAAACTGGAAAGCTGCTTGTAGACCACAAATCACTTTAAAAGGTAATTCCAATTTTTTAGAAATATTTCTGAAAATCGCTACGTGTATGACTATCTACAAACGAAGTTTAGTACAAAATAAATGCATCCAAAAGTTATTTTCATACTATCCAACGGGTGACTGAACTGATCTAATTACAGAATACAAGGAGCTAATTTATGACCTGATATATCTTCTTCTCATTTACAACAATACTACTCACAAGTTACATGAGATAAGTTTAACAGCTAAGAACAAACCGTATCCCTGTTTAACTTACTATGGCAAAAATAAATACATTTAATCCATTAAAATAAAATTCAAGTAAATTATCTTGCAAGAATCTATTCAGTATACAGAACTACTGTATATACATTTATAGATATTATCTTTTACGTTAGTTACTCAATTCAATATTCTTCTGTAAACGTATCATTAATTATTAGTGATCTAATCCTACAATAGGACGAAACCGCTGTCCAATGCTTCTAGGTTTTCAATGATGGTCTAACATTAATCAGTTCAAGAATTCAATCAATAACTTGAGAATCTCCTCAACTCTATATTGATAATAAATATAAACCTGGCTTATGAACCATTTAAGTGACTTTTGATAATATGCAATACATTTCATTAAAATTTTGCTTAAAACATTACAACTACTAATGTTCTTTTATTTTAGCTGATAGATTACATATTACTGGGTTATCTTTGTTTGGAATTCTAGATAATCCAGTAATGTTCAATGTAAATTGTAAAATAGTTTTATGTTCATCTTCTAAAATCATGGATTAGAATAACTTAACAATCTAAAATCTATATTTATGTAATGTTACTGGAGTTTACAATTGAATTCAATGACATATTTTAACTTAAGAATGTGTACTTACTAAAAGTACTCCTGTAATTTAAGAAAAAAATTATACACAATGATTCATGCAAGATTATCAGTATCTGGTTGTGGAGTTCTAATGAGAAATCGTGACCAGTGGAGCAAATCCATGTTGAGTAGAGACAAGTATCTACATCAGTACAATGGAAGATGGTCGCGCAATTTCGTGGATTGGTTAAGGTTAAACACTAACACCGTTGGATGTAGACTCAGTGGTCCAGTAGGTTAGGCGTTCGCGAGCGAGACTGAAGGCTCTGAGTTCGAATCCCATGAGCGAGATAGTGGGTGCGCACTTCTGAGGAGTCCCGCGATGGGACGAAACGGCCGTTCATTGCTTCCAGGTATTCAACGGTGGTCTAACATCAATCGATTCATGATCTCAATGGTTTAAGATTTACAAATAGATATCAATAATTCATCCACTAAACTTATTTCTTAATAAAATCTATTCAGTAAAATAACAGCGATGTTTACGTGATCTTGAAGGTGCCTACTTACTTCTAGGATTAAATGAGTGTTACAAATTGGTATGGAGAAATGGGATTCAGTGCTAAAAGTTAGAGTTTCCATCATGAATTGACATTGACTATAATGCCAACAAGCTATTTATCCATATGGATGGATGAATTTCGCTCTAAAATTCAATGACCTGCTATCTTAAATCCGGTTGGTTTGTCCATAAATTATATTTTCGCCAGATATTCCTTAATAAACTTCTTTCATTATTTGAAAACATTAAAATTTTATGCATTTGGTTTAAGATTTGCGTTGATGACATCCTTATTATCCAAATGATCGTGTTGAAAACACTATCTAATTGCTTGATAAACCGGATTTAACCAATATTCACTGTTTAAACAATTATCTAAACTAATGTTTATGATTTAGTTTACGGAACTTTATACCATATTGTTATTTTGGCGAACAATTTTGACAGTACATACATACATTTGGTTACTTTGTTGATCTGAGCTTCCAACCACATGATATATGGCATTGAGCTATGGCAGAGCTCTACTCCTATACAATTATCTTGTAGGAGTCAGCGGTTACCTAACACGTATCTGATTCTGAGTTTGTTAAGTTTTTTATGTCCTTGTAAGTTTTCTACTATGGTAAGTTAAAAGAAAATCAGGCAGTGTCAGTTCAAAAATTTCCACCCACTATCAAGGAGAATAAGTATAGTTTATTTAAAACGTCATACAAAAAGCTTCTATGTATTACTAAATAGTCTTACAGAGTATTATATCTTAGCACATGTCATTTAGTTCTCATTATTTCTTCAAGGAGGTAAAAATTTATCCTCTACTAAACTACTATTGATTAGTCTGCCCGATTGAGGGTGATCAGAGAGAGCTTTAACACCTATTTATGTGTATACAAATTTAATAGTCTAATCAAGAAAGTAAAACTGACGAAGGACAGTTCTATTGTTTCAATAATTCATTTAACTTGATAAACGTTTACAAACCTATGCTTGTGGATAAAGCCAAACTGATAAGATTAATTCTTGTTTATTAGGATAAAATGGGTTGTAACAAAAATGTACCTTGTAGAAATTAAAGTTGAACACCGAAAGGCTACCCTTATATCTAATATATAATGATTCTGTTATATCCCGATGAGAATTATGAATGATAGCTCTTTATAACTATTTATAGATCAATACGATTCATATATTTTTATTGTATAATTACTAAGTAGTTAAAGTATGCATATTCATGTTCCCCTTATTAAAAGCTTTATTTTGACTCATAGACTATTATTTACCGTTCTTGAGTTATACCCAGTCTATTAATTACAGTCTCCTACTTTCATAGCCACTTTTGGCTAGATCTTGTACAAATGTTATTTTTTTATTTTATGGTACGATGTGGTCTGTTTGGTGTGTGTATATAAACCCAGTATGTTTGAAATATATGATTGATGTCACGAAGGCTGATAATGGTGTTCTGGACTCTAACAGGCAATGAGAAGGACCGTTTATGACTCTAGACTGCTCGTACGGGTTTTATGCGTCATTGATCCGGTGGATGTTTCACTGTTTTCTAATTAACGGTATCATTGCGTAATATATTAATAGGGTACATGACCACAAGTTATAACAAATTGTAGATAAATTCTTCGATAATCCATTGTCAAAGTTAGAAATACTTTAGTCATTCTTTTACTACCACTAATAATTTTTTAGTTTGTTCTTATTTTTAAAGTTTTACCCAAGTAAATTTAAACTTCATCCCCATCGCACACGCAAGTGGCTATCAGAACTCAGTAGCTAAGTGGATAACGTGATAGCGTTTGAAGTGAACGGTACTAAGTTCAAGTCCTAGAGTGAACATCAACTGTGAGATATAGGTACATCCAATTGACGAGTTCTACATAGGACGAAGTGTCGCGCATCTTGGATTCTACTGATAGCCACTATCCATCTTTGCTTATAATGCTTGTGAATTAAGGCAATATCAAGGCAATATGCACATATGCCAACATGAGACTGATAAATTGCAGTCCTAAATATCAATAAGAATATTCAAGTAAATAATAATAAGTGAATTTGTTTGTTTTATTTCGTTCTCAAACAAAAGGTTTTCAAGTTTATATTATTTTATAATATATATAGTTGAGTGGCTAAAGAATAATCTAAGAGGGAATTCTACACTTATGTTAACTGATTGTCGAAATAATTCATAAGAATTCAAATTCTCTCTCCTAAAATGCCCTAGTACGGTCGAAGGTGGGGAGAGTAATCTCTCCTGCTCCCTTTCCAAACGCTTTCACACGGCTACACGTATACAACCATTATCAGAGAATTTTTATTCACTGCCTTCTTATGACGGAGGTGTTGTTTTATATATTGTAAGTTTATTCAAAAAAATAAAAAAAAGCAATTAGTATTTGTATCTGAAGGGGTTTTGTGGAGATTGTAGTAATTTCATTAGTTGAGATCATGAGTCAATTAAAGCTAGACCGCCATGGAAAACCTGGAAGCACTGGACGGCCGTTTCGTCCTATTTTGGGACTCCTCAGCAGTGCGCACCCACGACCCCGCTCGTGGGATTCGAACCCAGGGCCTTCGGTCTCGCGCGCGAACGCTTAACCTACTGAACCACTAAATCGGCATCCAATGGTGATAGTGTCTAACACCAACCAATCCACAAGATTGCGCAACCATCTTCCATTGTACTGAGGTAGATATCTGTCTATACCCGACATGGATTAGCTTCACTGATTACAGTTTCTCACTACAAGTCCGAGAATTCCCTCACGAAGCTAGTCACTTGTGACCACATGTTGATTACTAGTAAAGGGGGTGTGGAGAGACAGTTAGAGACAGGTATCTACCTCAGTACAATGGAAGTTGGTCGCGCGATTTCGTCGATTGGTTGATGTTAGACACTATCACTATTGGATGCCAGTGCTTCCATGTTTCCAAAGGTGGTCTAACATCAATCGGTTCATGATCTCAATAAAAAAAACTTAATAATCTCCACACCCCCTATACTAGACATCCATCATTGTCATCAGTATATTTACTTATATCATCTAATCCTATTATATATTTTAGATTATTTTCAATTGGATGAATATTTGTAACCAAGGCAACTGTAAACAACAGCACCACCACCACTACCAACTATCCTATTCAATTCAATATTTATCTTTATTAAATGTATCGTCGATTATTTAAAAGAAAACATGATTTATCACCACGTATAATATATCCAAGTACATTAATGCAATATGATAAACATAATACTACTACTAAACATTATAAATCTGCATTGAATTATATTAAAACAACTAAATATACATTATTAACATTTATACCATATAATTTATGGGAACAATTACATCGTTTTGCTAATATTTATTTTATATTTATATTAATATTAAATTTTATACCAGAAATTGATGCATTCGCTAAAGAGATAGCACCAATCCCAGTATTAATTACATTAATTATAGTTGCTATTAAAGATGCCTATGAAGATTTTAGAAGATATTTATTAGATCGTAAAGTCAATAAAAAACCATGTGAAGTTTATTCAGTGTAAGTTATATATATATATTATAATTAATTTAATGATTGATCAATTTGTTTAATATATATATAATGGTGCACATGGGCTCCAGTATCCTGCAGGAACAAATGGCGTATGAACCAATTGTTGGTCACCGGCTTCCATGGGACTGCATCTCCTTACGATGCTCCACTGCCTTGTGGACTAGAACTTCAGGTCGAAGGCTCCGAGTGTGGCCCCCTAAAATAACCACCTGCTTCGGTTTGGGCACCCGAGCAGTATCACAACCCTCACACATATCGAATGAGATTTGTGTGACGCATATGTATTTGGTACCAATATTTTGTACCAATATCTATGTGTTAAAATAATAATAATAATATATAATGATCCATTTATATCAGAAGAAGGTTCCAGGTGTACCATGGAGATCTAGCATCAATTGACTCATGATCTTAAAAATTGATCTATTTATAGTTTAGATTAGATCGAGTTACGAATTGAATTATATTGAAAGTATTATGTACAGTATGTATATGAACCTTAAATATTCTGGTAAAGTCTAGAAGGTGTAGAGTTAACTCTTTCTCTTTAAAATGCTCTCATTTGATCATATGTATAAAACTATTGATAGGGAAGTCCTACTCATTGGTAAAAGTAAGATATACCGAACGCTTTGAGTCAATCAATCGAAACTAAGAGAGTATCTCAATTATTTTAATCAATCTTTCAAGTACAGTAATCGATAACGTGTATGTTACTATTCATCAAATGAAAATCGGCAACATTTGATTTCTAAAATGTTTGGAAACAATGAAAATGTCTAATACGCAACGATAATGAATGTTATATGATGCTTAAATTAAATTACATGACACAATATCTCCTAAAACAGATCGTAAGTCAAAGTACTTAACACAATTCATTGCACAATCAAGTGTAGACCACAAATGTCGTGGTGTGGTCGAGGGTGGGGAGAGTTCACTCTCCTTCCTCCAAACGCTCTCATCACATGGTCACACGTATACAGCCACTGACAGGAAATTCCTACTCACTGTCTTCTCGTGGTGGGGGTGTTGTTTGAGAAATTGAGAGGACAAAAAGAGAATGTCTGGTGCTTTAACCAGGTTGGTTGATACGGAGAGTCCACCTATGTGAGCTGGAAAACTCTGATTTCAAACCAATGATACACATGGACTCTAGTATCCTGAAGCATCAAATAGAGTATGGACCAATCGATGGTCATCGGCTACCATATGACTGCATCTCTTAACATTGTTCCACTGACTTGTAGATCAGACCTTTAGATTGAAACCTTTGTGTGTGGCACGCCATGAAAACCATTTGCTTCAGTCTGGGTACTTGTGTAGTATCTCAGCCGTCACACAAATCGAATGACGAAGTATGGCGTATATCTATTTGGTGCCTTCTTGTACTAATATTTATGTGTTCAAATAAATAAATAAAACGCATATATGCCAGTGAGAGACTGATCAGTTATAGTCCTAAACATCAGTGGGAAGATTCAAGTAAACAACACCAAATCAATGTGTTTGTTTTATTTCCTTCTCAAACAAACGTTTTTTGAAGTTTATTATGTTTTATAAGCCTGATTTTATTTATTGTTGAATGATTAAAGAATAATCTAAGAGGAAATTCTATACTTATGTTAATTTATTGTGGGGTTAATCCATAAGAATCTACACTCTTTAGAATTCAAACTATCTAGTCATTATAAACTTTTCTCTTTCTGGGCATCATTACCAAGGTTTCACTTTATAATTTCAAATAAATTGAGCATCGGATAGATTGTTATAAATAAATAAATATATTTGTAGATATCCCAATGAGTAGAAATATTAGATTTTCTGACATTTCGTCACTCAGTGTAAGCCATTTCTTCTGATTACTGTTTATACTCTAACTACCTCTACTACTACGGGATTTAAATCGACAAATGTGTCTTTGTGCTAATGTGGTACAACTCGAACTGATATACGTACGTACGAAGTTCTGCGTTGTTATTGACTGACTGACTTCTTCAACGAACAAATAATCAATATGAGTTCTTTAAAGAAGTGGCTCACACTAAGTGACGAAACATCAGAATATCTAATTTTGTTTTACTGATTAGAATATTACAAATATATAATTTACTCTTTCTAGTATTTCATATAGATTAAATTTTAGTAGTCAGTTTATATACTACAATCATTTGGATAAATAACGACAACACACTACAATGTTTAAGAGTTTTTAAAGAGAGAAAATATGTAATGAATTTTGTTGTTGTTGTCTACACCACTGATTGTACTTTCTTTTATTAATGTGATGAACTTTAATGGTTCAGTAATATTATAATATACTGATGATTTGGATCAACTTATCAACCAATCAGGAAATTTTGCTTAACTATGAAATAGTTAACAGTATAAAGTAGTGATATAACAGTGCCCCACCCCCAAAAAATGCCCTAAAAAGGCCGAGAGTAAGGAGAATTCGCTCTCCCTATCGAAATGCTCTCATATGATCACGCGGATATAGCCTGTGCCAGGGAAGTCCTACTCACTGCCTTTTCGTGGTGAATATGTTGTTTATGAAATCGAGAGGACGAAAAGCAAACGTCCGGTGCTTTAACCGGGTTGGTGGACACGGAGAGCCCACATAGGGAAGTTGGAAAACCCTGACTCCAAACCAACGGTGCACATGGGCTCCAGTATCCTGCAGGAACAAATGGCGTATGAACCAATTGTTGGTCACCGGCTTCCATGGGACTGCATCTCCTTACGATGCTCCACTGCCTTGTGGACTAGAACTTCAGGTCGAAGGCTCCGAGTGTGGCCCCCTAAAATAACCACCTGCTTCGGTTTGGGCACACGGGCAGTATCATAGCCCTCACACAAATTGAATGATTTATGTGGCGCATATGTATTTGGTGCCTTCTTGTACCAATATCTGTGTTAAAATAAATAAATAAGTTTTGATCTTAATAAATAACACTCACAAATCAAATTATCCGTTCTAGTAAAAAAAGAGGAACAAGTTTACATATATGCGTGTACATTAAGAGTTGATCGAATATTTTGATTCAAGATTATAAAGCGATGAATTGCCATCATCTTGTTTACAAACTTGAGAAGCTCGATGTTAAGATTTCGGAGGAGAATAAGAAAGGGAGCATATTATGTAGCTTCACTAAACACTTGCTATTTATTTTATTATTTATTTGAACACATAAATATTAGTACAAGAAGGCACCAAATAGATATACGCCATACTTCGTCATTCGATTTGTGTGACGGCTGAGATACTACACAAGTACCCAGACTGAAGCAAATGGTTTTCATGGCGCGCCACACACAAAGGTTTCAATCTAAAGGTCTGATCTACAAGTCAGTGGAACAATGTTAAGAGATGCAGTCATATGGTAGCCGATGACCATCGATTGGTTCATACTCTATTTGATGCTTCAGGATACTAGAGTCCATGTGCATCATTGGTTTGAAATCAGAGTTTTCCAGCTCACATAGGTGGACTCTCCGTGTCAACCAACCTGGTTAAAGCACCAGACATTCTCTTTTTGTCCTCTCAATTTCTCAAACAACACCCCCACCACGAGAAGACAGTGAGTAGGAATTTCCTGTCAGTGGCTGTATACGTGTGGCCATGTGATGAGAGCGTTTGGAGGAAGGAGAGTGAACTCTCCCCACCCTCGACCACACCACGACATTTGTGGTCTACACTTGATTGTGCAATGAATTGTGTTAAGTACTTTGACTTACGATCTGTTTTAGGAGATATTGTGTCATGTAATTTAATTTAAGCATCATATAACATTCATTATCGTTGCGTATTAGACATTTTCATTGTTTCCAAACATTTTAGAAATCAAATGTTGCCGATTTTCATTTGATGAATAGTAACATACACGTTATCGATTACTGTACTTGAAAGATTGATTAAAATAATTGAGATACTCTCTTAGTTTCGATTGATTGACTCAGAGCCTTCACTGTATCTTACTTTCACCGGTGGTTCTTATTTTCTAAGGGATATTAGACTATTCAAGGTTGGAGATGGATGTTGTTAATTAGTGAAACCATATATATAACATAAATTCAAATGTTATGTTTGAAATTTAAAAGTTTTGAAGAAATCATTCTGAAGATAATTTATAATTTTGTTCCGTCATCTTTAATTTTAATTAAAATCCAGTTAAAACTATATATGTATTGGCTTTTTAAATTCTTCTATTGATATTGACGACTGCAATTGTTTTTCAAGTCGTGGAGTAAACATCAACTCTGGGATTCAGGTACATCCAGCTGACGAGTTCCGAACAGGATGAAACGCGCGTCCTGGATGCCACTGCTAGCAACCATCCATCTCTGCTGATGCAGTTGTTCTTGTTTGATCATATCGCAACAGATTTTTGGTGACAAATATCTTATCTGCAGAATGCCTTATGTTTGAGTTCCCTCCTGGCTGTCACTCATCAGCAAGGCAGATCTATATTCTTGGGTGTGATGCACTCGGTATGTTTAAAACCCATATAAAAGCCAGAAACTTAACCAGTAGGTTATCCAACGTACAACCATTCTCTTCCACAGTAGGTTGTTGCTGACAATTCTAGGTCAACGGGTCTGGAGTGTCCTTTGTATATAGCTATTTGTTAATATCCCTACTTTTCTGATCATCGTAGTTCTGCAAGTTTCAGCTCCGTACAGTAGAAATGTCTTGATGTTCGTATTCAAGATTCTCATTTTGAAATTGATTGTGCTGAGTCCCATAGGTTCTTCACCTATGATGAAATGTTGCTCGAGTTTCTTTCAGAAGTTACTCTGGATATCATAAATAGGGTATAAAATTTAATTTTAATTTCATCTAAATCATTAATCTTATTCCAGAATTATTTTTTCATCATTAGCTATCGAAGTAACTGGTAGGATGAAGGTATATCATGTATGCATTATTTTATGAAATATTAACGTCAGACATTAAAATGCTGAACTTTATGACTGATGTTTCA